TTCTGGAAGGGTGTACGGTGTATTTGACTTTTTGTAAAATTGTTAGCAGTAAACAATTTAAAAAACAAAAATGTATAATTTTAATTGCTATAAAACTTATTTACACTTCAATAAAGTTATGATAATCATATAATTATTTATTAATTATAATTAATTGTTATGCATGGTATTATAATTATAACTTCATTTTGTAATTGTTCTGCATGTTCTTCTGCATGTTGATGCCTGTGCCATCTCTTTTGTATATTAAACAGATCATTTCTACAAAATGAAAGACGACATTATTATCATGATACATTATACATCTTTACACCACAAAATATCATATACACATATGTTAACCCTTCAATACGGCTCTTTTATAAGTAGAGCCTGCCCGAAAGCCCTAGTAAAATTGATACCGCCTACTTAGTTAATATTCCATATTAACACCGCCAACTCGAACTAGTTAATAGATAATTACTGAGGCCAACGGCATTGTTCGATATATTGCAGCCAGCTGAGGCCGAAGGCCGAAGCTGGCTGCAATATATCGAATAATGCCGTTTGTTTTATCGAATAATGCCTGCAATATATCGAATAATGCCTTTTTTAATCAAAAGTAATTATCTTCGGCTGGAAGACTACGTTGCTGCTTGTTGGGACCGTGTGACAATGAATCTATCCAACGTTACACTAGACATTTGTGAGGACATGCATGTAATGCATCGAGATAGAACAGATTTCAGTTTAATTAATCGCCCTAAATTAAAATCTCCACAAGCGGAGGTCAATTATAGTGTTCTAGTTGACATATTATCATTAATGATAAGGTTAATTCACCTAACTGGTTAACTGGATAAACACGGGAATAGAACTTATGGTGTGTTCTGCACATGCGTATATCTAGGATAAAATCCCACAAGCGCAAACGAAACTATTTCTCTATAAAGTTGAGCTGAAAGGACTCACAGCGACCGTTTTGGCAGTGCTTCAGGCGCCCGATGATATTGTATGAGGGGCCTTTAGCACTGCCAACTTCTCATCTTGAGATGTTCACGTTATCGCGTGTACTTGTCAGGATGACGAAGGATTGCGAATAATGTCTGTGTGCACTGATACACGCTGCATTATTTTTAATAATGCTGTGTGCACGCTGCATTATTTTTAATAATGCTGTGTGCTATTTTAGCCCGTATAAACATTTACCCCTGGGAATTTCCCTACAATCAAAAAAGACCGCTCCCGTTTTTCAGAAGAACGCTAAAACTTCTCGACATTCGCTGATATAATGCAGAGAGAAAACAGTAGGTTATTATGACCGTCAGTAATTATTTTTGTATAAATGATGACTTTCAATAAACTTTTTACAATAGATGGATAGCGATTCAACTGCCTGGAAATACAAGCAAAACGTCGGCATTTCGAGCGAAGGCCCTTCGACTTTGTCTGGAAATTAATAGTAGACGAAGACCGTTCAAAATTATATTATGCTTTGCACCTGTATGGCTCATGTAATACAGTTATAAATATTGCAGTATTAAATGTCATAAATGACTTAGGAAAAGTAAATAGAACCCTTCTCGTGTTATACACGTTGGCAGGCAAATGTATTTTAAAAGCTCCAAAGAGAGCTTCGGATTATTATGCTGTATTAAACAAAATGGGGAATTATTATTTTATATAATCATAATTTGCCAGCCAGCAAAATATAGACAAGGCAAGGACAGCCAAGGTTTTATACTCTATACTATAGTGACCATACGGTAAAATCTTACGACATATGTAGTAATAGCAGTATGGCTTGCCTTATTCTGTTTAGATACCGGTATATGTTATACATTTTACACTTTGTCTTTTGAATTTTAGCCGACAGGTTTACACTTTAATATAGCGATGCCGTTTGTTTTTACTGTATTTATTTGTCAATCAACCTGTGGTCAACGTAAATTCAGCCAATCACAATTCTCGGCAGCTGGCTGCCGAGAGCATCAATTTTACTAGGGCTTCCGGGCAGGCTCTCCTTCAATTATCTGCCCTATAAAAGAGCCGGCCACGCTGGCTACCCTTCAAGTGGCAATGTGTTTTGATTTGCCTCACTGTATTATTTTTGCCTTACTGTATTATGTCAGACAATTTTACTAGTCAAGGGGAGAGTGCAATTACATGATCTGTTTTTACCAAGATCATTAATCCGAGCTTCTAAATTAAGTGTCATGTTTTCATATTCAGCAATGCAATTACATTCCCAACTAACTGCAAAAATATGTCAAACAATTATTAGCAAATTTTGTCATCATTTCTCACAGAGCAATCGCTCATCACCACCTCGAATGTTAGAAATGTTGTATGTTCTTGCCATGTAACTATGAGATCATATACTGTGTCAACTACATAGTTTTATATAGTTCTGAAGAGACAATGGTAAAATGTTATCTATTTTTTAAGACTCTTCCCTTGATGAGTAAAACAACTGGATTTAGTCTCACCGATAGAGTAAAATAAAACGGGGACCGTGGAGTCTGTTTAAACGTGGGGGGGGGCAGGATAGCGTGGGTTGGGAGCTATTTCACATAGGCAGGCTGTCCAGATTTTATCCAGTATTTTTTTATTATCCACTAAAAAAGTGGGGGGGGGGCATGGCCCCCCTGTTCTGCAGTCCCAGTAAGAAAATAGCTGGTTCATTTGGGTAAATTGCAACTTAATGGGCAGACTATATATCTTAGGGGCTGCTCATTGGCAGATAGTGTATTAAATTGACCCACTGCGAGGCAGCAGTGAGCAGCTCCTCTTAATATCATCTGGCATTAAACAAACAGAGTAAAATAATAAAGGCAGTCTTTTATATAGGGCTCATCAGGACAGAGCATATTGTCACATGTATAGGTGGGCCTCCTCTACTCAAGTCTCTCTGGTCTTGTGCTTATCTATGACTATATATACTAATTCTGCGTTATGATGGGCAAGTATATAAATTTTACACCATATTAAACCTTTATGAACATGTAAACAACCACAATTTATACAAGTAATTAAAAACTGGCAGTCTGGCAATATTAAAACCACAAAGGACAGGCCAGTGCTGACACTGAAAACAACATAATTTCATGTAGTACACAAGATTTAATAATTAACAATATTTTTATGTATGAAATATTTGCTGTATATATTAATAGGATGATGAGTTTTTGACCTAATATGAAGGGTCTAGTGGACTGAGTGACTCAGAGTCTCAGACTAGCTAGTCGTCTAGAAAGTTTAATATAAAAACGTTTCGTGAATCTTACCTGAAAGAATTTATAGTCTTTCTTTATAGTTTCTCTGTAGTAAAGTGCTGCATCCACAAGCGAAGCAAACCGGCGTTGTAAAAAAAGTAATTGCGAGGGAAATATTAAGATTTTTGCTCAAAAACAACAGAAAACTTGAAAATAAAGTAAGTGTTGTCATGGAAATGGCGTAAGATCCGCCATGCGGACACTTTTTTATCCCGAGCAGGTCCTCCAGTAATATAGTATAGCTCAGTGTGCATAACCCACTGGTACACTATATGTCCATCACTCCACGTTGTTCTTCTTCGACCACGTGTAGATTGATGGACGATTTGCTTGCGAATGAAAACTATTCCACAAATAGGAAATATTGCAGAATACCCGACCACTATTAATATCATATCATGTAGCCCGACCCAGGGACGTCGCTATAGCGGGCCGGGGGAGGGGGTGTGGTTGGTGTAACACCACCCCCTCCCCCCTCCCCCAATAATTTCAACGCCCAAAGTTTGTCAAAATGGAAATTAAATTTGAACTGCTTAAAATTGAAGGTAATACAGGGAAAAATTTGGTCAAAGTTAAGGAGAAAAGATGGTCGAAGCTGCTCAAAATTATGAAATGGTTTGGAAATTTAACAATTCTAAAGCTTTTGTTTTGTTTGCGGTAAAAAATTGCAATCCTTGATCATCTAGGACGAAAAATTCTGAATATTGTTTTATCAGTCCGGAAAATTTTTGTTGACTATGATTATGTTAGTCCGGAAAATTTTTTTGAACTTCCTCCCCATCCCCGTCGACAATATTTTCGGAAAAAATTTGTACGACTTGGTCAAAATCGTAAGAAATATTGGTCAAAACATGACGACCCCCCTCCCCATGTTGATGGCTATTTCACGACGTCCCCACCCGGTGGGGGTTAGAGGTTAGGGTGTGGGTTAGAGTGGAGGTTATGGTTACAACCCAATAACTTATTGCTGATAACGGTTGATAATTACAATACTATATTGCTGATAACGCAAGGAACGGCTGACGTCCCCTGGGCCGGCCACTATTTCACTTGATACGTATGTAGAGCGTTTGCACATCACATCACAGCTCATCACGTTACAGAATTGGTGTTCCAATTCAAAAGAATTTTAATTAGACTATTTTGTTTGGAACACCAACATGGCCGCAGGCCGCCATGACTTTTGTTGAGTTGGACCCTGGGGAATGAGTGTGGACGCTCTATAAAGGAAATATGTCATGCAAGACTTTTAATGTTTGATGCTTAGTATACTTTATAATATAAACTTATTCTTTTCCAGGACACTAATTAATCATAATCTTTCAAACACCAATGTCCGGTTGTGAAGTAATATTTGAAATCCTCGTTGGTGTTTTACTGAGACGTGGTTTCTAAATCCAAATCCACGAACAATGCCGAGACGTAGCCGAGCCATTGTTCATGGCACTTTGGGATTTGGAAGCCAAGTCTAAAACACCAACGATCGGATTTGAAATGGCTTATCACACATCATTGGATATTTATAGCATTGAGGGGGTAACAATAGGGAATTTTAATTAAAAGTTGTTCAATCAAGCGAATGCGTAACGAAGGAACGAATTAAAAGCGTTCTTGTAATGCTGTTCAGATTGCTGTTGGTATTTGTTCACCTTCGAGGAAGCATGTCATCTAGTTTCATGGCATCTAGTTGCAAGAGGAGATTTCGAGATCCTCAAAGGGTGGAAAGAAGCAATAACAACGTCAGAAATGCTATTCCACAAACAACGCGTTGTAAAAATCGCTGGGGAGTTCGTATATTTGAAGATTGGCAAAGTTGGCGAGAAAATCAATCCTTTCAATCCTGTATCACGAACATTGTTTAATGTTCATGTGGATGACCTCGAAGGCTGCATTCCCAGTTATCTGGACATCAATACGCACAAATACGCAGATGACTGCACTCAAGATGAAGTGATTCCATATGGTTCTACTAGCAACATGCAAGAGGTGCTTGATACAATGAACGACTGGACACTCAGAAACAAGGTGAAACTTAACGCGAAAAAGACGAAAGACATGTGGATCTGCTTTAAAGCTGCAATTCCGGAACCACCATCACTTAAGATTGGTGATGATACGATTGAAAGAGTAAACTCGTTCAAGCTGTTATGTCTTTGGATTAATGATACCCTTAAATGGAACACCCATATTGAAGAAATTACAAAGAAAGTAAACAAACGCTTATTCTACCTAAGGGAATGTCGTCGAGCAAATCTACCAACCAAAGTTGGTTTAACGTGCTATAAAACCAAATTAAGACCGGTTCTGGAATATGCGGCCCCAATATGGGGTGGTCTGCCACAATACCTTACAGACGAACTGGAGAGTATCCAGACTAGAAGTTATTTCTAATTGCAGCTAACTATATTTAGAAACAATTCTAAACATAGCAATTAAATATATTTGCATAATCTTTTGTTTACTGCTCAATTTCTCTATTGTTCGAAGCCCTTCCCACTTGAAGAAATGAAAGTCCTGGTCTAGACGGGGTATCCAGATAGATACATGTGATGTAAATTACACCATGTCATTGCCCGAAATGCTATGAATACAGTATCTAATGATGTGTGATAAGGTCATTACACCGTTACGCAGTTAAACCGTACATAAATGCGCAAGCAACAGTTAATGCTCTCATAGTCTTTCTAACCAGGAACTCTACGCACGTGGTACACTTTCAGCGATTACAGAAAATTACAATTGGAACCTCGAAGCCCATGACGAAAATCGGCCGTCAACATGAGAAAACGTAATCTCATCTCCAAAAGCGATTCTCGATCAGACAATTTCTTTAATTATGCCAGAATCATGCCTAAAAATATCCAAAGGCTAAGTTTTATCAGTTCATATATCCGCAATTTGTTCAATTATGCCAGAATCACGCCTTAAAATATCCAAAGGCTAAGTTTTATATCCACATATCCGTGTATCTACTGCACTAGAATACAGCTATTTCAATGAAGGTTGTCCCCCGAGCAAAGCGGAAAAGTCGAATACGAGCGCGAAAGGCTGCTGGTAATCGCTAATAAATGAATTCTCGTATTCGACTTTTCCGCTTTGCTCGGGAGACAACCTTAATTGAAATAGCTATACGGTAGATCAACTTATAGCATATAACGACTCGACCGCGTATGAGCGTCGTATCCGCGTTAAGGCCGTGTCACACTATTGCGTATGAGAGAAACGTATGAGAAGCATATGAAAATGAATGAAATAATTTTCATACGCGCAAAAATCCTTTGAAATGCCCGCGTATGAGTACCATACATCTGGCGTACCTCTAGCGTATTCAGCGCAGAGGCGTAGCCAGGATTTTTGGTCAGGGGGGGCAGCAAAAACCCAGGTGGGGCCAAGCCTCCAGTGACTCGAGACGCCAAAGGCGTCAATCCATCCCAAAGTGGGGGGGGCGGATTAGTACTCCAAATTAGGAAAGTCCAGTGATATGCTACCCGAATTTTGTTTTATTTTTGGTAGGGATTTCTAGCGTTTTGGAGGCACTTGTAAAGTTATAGTACAATGTGCTGATCTTAAATCCATTTTTAACCATGTGAGAAATCCGCTAAGAAACAAGGTTGTTCAAGTGGGATAAAGCACGTAAAAGTTGTTAATTAATTATATTAGTTGTTAGTTATTCATTTAGTTAGATTGCAATGCTATGTCTACAACTTTTATAATTGGGATCAGGCGAAAACTACAAAAATGGAGTCTTTTTGCTTAATACTTTACTATATTTGAACTTTTGAAAATGGTAAAATAAAATTATCTAGTTTTAAATCTTAATTTAGTCGTTAAATTATAATTTAATTATAATTTAACGACTAAATTAAGATTTAAAACTAGATAATTTTATTTTACCATTTTAGTAAATTACGATTATGTCGATTAGCTCAATAATTGATGTATAATAGTTTAAAATATATTATCACCTTATTTACTGGACACATATACAGTATAGTATCTTCCACTTTCAATATATATAATTAAATTTCCATTACGCGGAAAGAGCCTGGGTACGAGGTTGATGCATGTTAATGTTTTAGTTATATTTGTTATATACTTTTATCCTTATTCAATATAATAATTAGAACAGACTAAATATAAGAATGAAATAATGTTAGTATAGGGGCCCAAACAAAAACAAGCAAAACGAATTATTGTCTCATTTACTGCAGCTTGCCAGTTAGAACAGGAAGTGAATACGACCGATAGTGCTTTTATGTAAATGTTTGTAAATTACATGCACATGTACCAATTTGAATTCAATTTGAATAATGTTTAGTATTCACATAACATATGCGATGTCAGTATTTGCTCCCAGCGGCTACAGAAAGGTAATACGTTGTACTTCATCTTACTAAATGTCTTCGTTCCAACCACAATTCTGGATGAATAGCATAGCATGCATTAGGTTTTTAGATTACCTAAAAACAAAATTTCATTAAACATGTTAAAATGTGGAGGAATAATTAGATATTCGTCCCCCCCCACTCCAAAAACTGTGGTGACGCGTCCCCCCCACACCCCCTCCCCCCAGGATTGACGTCCATGCGAGACGCAAAGTTCGCGCAAGGCATTTTGTGCAGTGCTGGGTAAAATTAATTGGCGACAGATGTGATTTTTCACCGAGCCCGCGTTAAATATTCACTGGTAAAAAAACAGATTGGTTTAAACTTCATCTAACCCTCATTTAATACATACTGAAATAATTAGCCTAATTAGGGTTAGAAAAGGTACGTGTTTCAAGCTGTGTGCCGCTAATAAGCGAACACGATTTTAGGTTTCACACTGATGCGCAGCATAGCATATATTCTACAGAATGTTCGCATTAATGACAGCATGAAGCTATATAATCAAGGATTGCCTTTTTTATGCAATACATTTTATCAGAGGGGGCCCCAAATTTTGCCAGGGGGGGGGGGCGGGCCCCCCGGCCCCAGCCCTGGCTATGCCTCTGATTCAGCGTGTGCCTAGAGTATGCTTATCGTATAAAGCATACGTCCGATGCGCGCAAAATTTTTGAGCATGCTTAAAAAAAATGTCAGTCTGCCTCGCCGTATGCCAGCGTATGCCACCGTACGCGACCGTGCTTGAAACGTATGAAACGTTGAAACCCTAGGCCTAGCGTATGTCACGTATACCGGCGTATGAGTGATATTTTTCATAATAATAATAATAATAAAACTATATTTAATGATGGATTACATTGATTACTTAATATAGTATTCTTCCCAATGGCCTACGACGCTAGTACGATACGCAATAGTGTGACAGGGCCTTTACCATGTACTAAAATATATCACGTCTGGTCACATTAATTAAAAACGTTTTACGAATTCTGGATATTTGCAGTGGAACCGTGATGTAAATTTTCCCCTATGGGGCCCGCATGTACCATGCACGAGCAAATGTTTGAGCAATGTTTAATTATAATGAATTATTTGATGAATGTATGCAGATTTGGTTGGCCGCACTCTAGGTATTTCGCTATATCGTCCACTTATCTCGTCGTTAACAAGGTTTGGTATTCCCATCGGAATGGTATCGTTTGTCGAGCGATTCGATGTGGTTGTGTTCCTTATATTAGCGTGTCGTATTATCAACAAACAAGTATTTCAGAATAAAGTTTATTTCACGATAAGATCTTAAATAAATAATTTGTAAATACCTATAGCAATCGCATTTGAATAATATTATTATTAGTTATGCTTCAATAAATGCAAACAAAGTTGTTTGGCAAGTAAAGCCATCATTGCACAATACCAAATGATATAGATCCTACAAGATCATGTAATTTTGGGTTGAGAATGTATTCGATCTCATCCTTGTATAGTGAGGAAACCAAACAGTTTTGAGTCGACTGAACGGATGCAAATGATCTTAATTAACGGTATGTACAGTATATGTATAATTATTATGAAACGACTATAATAGATCCTATATATACGTTGCACGATATCGAATACAAGTTAATTTCACTAACTATTTGCGCCCGATATCATCGGAACTACTGTAATCTTTGATGGCAACTAGCTATTAGTATAAATAGGAAAACCAAAGCTCGCCTGCACAACAACGAAACTTTTGCCGTGTGATCTTCTGTAAAATGACTCTATAAGCTAAAGTAAAAAGTTATGCTTGGATATTTCTAAGGAATGTAATATTGTATTTGAATATTTGCATGACTGCTTAAGCTGATAAGACAAATAACATTCGCTGCCGGTTAACAAAAATTAAACGTACTAAAATCAATGGTACATAAGAGTACTATAAATCAATTGATGTGGCCTTTATACATAACTGCGACAGTATGTATATTAAACCATGCAGTATACAGTATAAGCTAGAAGCAGCTTATCAGCAATATTTTCTATTGTTCGACTTTCACTTCGAGAATTGTTACATTTCATAAGGCGTGTAAAATATATTTACAATCTAATTAACCCTGGTATACACTATCAAAGATTTGAAGAATTTGTGAGAAATTTAAAATGTAAACACCGCGAGTAATTTCATTCAAACCTTTATCCATGCAAAATTCCTACTGTGATCATGGAAACTTTGAAAGTGAAAACCAGCCTTTACATACTAGCTCTCTTCAGTTGGTTCATCCGTATGGAAACATGGTCTGCTGGTATAAGAAATTTCAGAGTTCCTAATGCGCAATCAAATGACGCGTTCTGCATTGCGATAAATTGAAGCTGAACTATAACATGCATGTATAGCTGAGAATTAGAATGTCGATACCAAAGTTTATTTAGCTGTTCAGTCATTATCTGCGTTTCATTTATACTATGCTATGATCGTTATAGGAACTGTCATTTTAAATATTTTTGTACTAGCATATTTTGCCTTCTGTGTAACGCAAAATTTAAAACATTTGAAAAGGTGCACTTAAGTATGGTGCAGAAATGGTGCAAAAAAAAGTAAGGTTCACTTAAGCCCGTTTGTATGTATGAGACCCGAACGAAGTCAAACCGGAACAATTTCGTTTCGGTCATAGTATTATTTATATTAGATGTTTTCATGCAGAGAATGGGATGAAAATAACTAAGATCGATCTCAAATCATTCCGCCTGCTTGGACCGAGCCGACTAACTTCAGACCGGCATGAATTCAGACTGGGATGAATGTAAACACAAATATATTTCAGACCGGTCTCGGCTGTAACCTGACATTGGAACAACACATGCTAACAAAAGCCATCTGAAAAAGAAAATGGCCTGGCAAGGGGAATAAATGGAAAATTTTGTGATTTTCGTACCGGTCACATATGAACATGTTGTGATTGTTGACAATTTCAATTGTATTTTAAATTAAAGTGAATCAACCGTGCGGAAACTAATTGTTCTTTAGTATAGCTTTAGCTTTGTGCACTGATCAAAATGATGATTGATGAGTTCAAATCTTTGATATGCATGTTCTAATTCCAGTCTCATGCAGGTACGTGTTATTTATCCTGACGTAGGACACGTTCTTTGAATGTTCAGTGGAAAGTTGCCTTTGTGTTCCCAGTTCACCAAATGTTAACTGAACAACCAGATCCTGTCTGATGCAGTATATTGGCGTGTTTGAAAACAAACGAAGGTGACGGTAGAAGACAAAATTATAATTTTCTATTCGACCATGCAAAGCAAACATTACCGGCTAAGTAAAACTTTTAAAAGCACTCATTCTTGTTTTAAACAACCTTGAAATTTTCAAAAGTAGCAATAGTAAGTGTTATGGTGCGTTATTTATGCGTCAAATATATTTTCCAATTAGGTATATTTTCAACCTTTAGGCTTCGGGTTCAAATTATATTAACGCTACCGTAACACAAATAGCATGAAACCTTATACCTTTTATATATTTTATTTACTTTCAACAATATGAATTAGCGTCTCTATAATGTTATAATAATATAGTAATCTTAATATATCAACTTATCTCTCTATTTGTTTGAGTTGAGCACAACTTTGAATCTTTATTCTTTATACTTTGTATTCCGTCTTCATTAATAATAATTATTCCACAATATTCCAATGTTCTTTAGTTTACTTGACGAGGCTTAATTATCTAGCCTTTTAATTATATACTTCAGCCTTTGTTGGCTTATGAAGTATTTTAGCCTAAATGGCTCTTCTCACTTCACTCTCCGCTCTCGACTCTCAGGTTGTGCTCAGCTTTTATAATAAATTTTAGAGGAAGAAATCTGTAACTATGACTAATTTCCTCTGCGCAATATGTTTGTCAAAGCAAGTTCTAGCAGTGTTTATCAACCACAAAACTATGTCCTGTTTGCGTGGTTTGTGGTAGGCTTACTAGGCGTTTCCCGTGGTTCGTTAATCTCTCTAAATATTTGCTTATTCATGCGAGGAAGGTTGCCTAAGGTCTTCCTCTTATAATTATAACAGTATACTGAATATATAGTATTGAATATGGTATTGAATATATTAAATAACATGGTATAACACTGCCATGTTACATAAGTGAATTCACATACTGTAGACCACCTCAAACGACTTGAACTTAAGTTAAATATTGTTATTCAAATGAGTTTCCAAACCATCTATTCTATTAACTATGTTGTTTCAAACTGCTATCATAATGTTATTAACATATTTTCACGGTTCATGACCACGCCAACAGTGTAAAATGTTCTTTTAACAATAATTCGCCGAAGGCAAAGTGATTACCGGCGAATATTCAACAAAACGAAGTCGAGGTGAATATTCACCGTAATCACTGAGCCTGAGGCGAGTAATTGTTTTAGTATATATTTTTAATGTCAATAAAACAAAATATCCAAGTTATGCACCTATTAGTTTGTTTAAAATTCAGAAATAAAACTGTTTTCGACCGGTTTACGGTTTAGTGTTGCAGTGTTTCTTGTACACGCACGCTTTCAAAATGGCTTCCTATGTGACTTTATTGCACTATTACAAAGTTATTTTTCTCGATTTCTGCTTAGAATATAAACGCAATGATGGAACCACTTTTTTAAAAGACTTAGAATTAAAAAATAGTTTTTGTTTAGCATTAATTTGTTCAGCAAATGGTTGAGAAATTTGGTAAAATGAAATGTAAAACTATATCGTTCGAAATATAAAAGTTTTAATACTGTACACTTTTCGCTTTACAAGTTTCAAAAGCACAATAGTACAATACTGCGACAGGACACCATACAGCACAATGAAAACACGACATATCATGAGAAATAGTATCGTACAAATTGAGATATTAGTATAGGATACAAAAGAAAATTGTTTTAAAAAGAATGTCACGACTTTTCCCAAAAGTCGGGATAGTTTTTGCTATTTCAGATTTGTTTGAAGCGAATGTATCGGAGTGGTTTTAAATAAGTTTTAAATTGTCCGTGAATATGTTTGACACAGTAAATTAATAAAGGAATTTCGAATCCTACCTTTCAAGTTAAATACCATTTTGTGCTTTTTTTCGTTTTCTGGGACGATTTTTTTCAATATTTTGTCGATTTTGAAACCAAATTTGCCGAATCATTCTTTTTGAAAAGCATTATTTACTACCCAGGTGGTAAATAATGCCTCAGATTTACTAGTCAACTAGCCAATCAGAACGCACGAAAGCTCATTTGATATGCAAAATTTATACTAAAACTCATTATCTATGTTAGTCAACGTTTATTCATAAATCTGGTCGCTCACCGTCACGTGCGCATCGAACAATAGGGTAAATTGTAAATTGCTATTGGTGGATTTGGCAAAAATACAATACGCACGTTACGTGAACGACCAGATTTATGAATAAACGTTGACTAACATAGATAATGAGTATGTTGTTATTCTAATGAGTTTCCAAACCATCTGTTCCATTAACTATGGAAACAACTACATGCACGGCGAATTAGAATGCTTATTATTATTATTACTATTATTATTTTAAAATATTTTAAAACGGTAGCTCTTCAAGGCTCGTAGGCACCTGCATGCTTTTCAAGACGCCGTTTATTGCAAGTATTTACAGGCTATAAATTTAATAACACAAATATATACACAAAAACAGAGAAAACATAACGAACTTAATAATTGCATGCACTACATTTGTTTCTGAATATATCCTATTTCTATTTAAATTAAATATTTACAAAGTTACCAAATTGAATCAAGTGCCGTCAAGAATACGTTTAAATTTGTTAAGGCTAATGCCTTTTTCTTTTAAATGGTTTCAAACCCAACCCTCTAGCTTCGCTAGTAGAGTAGACTAGTAGATCAAGTTCTAACAGCTGTCACAACAGAGTCGATACGCTGGTGTTATGTTACATTCTTAATATGTTGTGTGTCGAAGCTCACAAGCACAGCTAGACGCATTATTCGAAAAAGCTAATGTAAGTACTTTAAAAATATGGAAAGTATGTCGACGTTTCGAGCTATAACGGCGGAGGGGGAAGCTTTTCTGTTTACTTGGCATTGCCAGGCTTTTCAGGTATACTATTAGTTACTATTATGGTATACAGTATTCTATCGACACGATAGGTTCAAACGCTGGATAAGGTATTCTATGCGCAGCACATTTATCAAAGATTAAGTACGTTGATGGAATTTCAGGTATACACTGCAGGTATATACAATATATTCCAGGGAATATTGGGTAGTATGATTGAGTAAATCGGCGTTTTGAAAATCCACTGGCCAAACATAATTGCTAGACAATATTTGAACAATGAATTTCCGTTTTCGTTTCTAGCGAGCAACTTGAAAAGAAATATAATATGAGAAATATTCCGAATAATAACATGACTCATAATATTAAAATATTTATTTGCAAGTGGTAGCTAAACTTGCTTCAAACACTCATTAATAATTCATTTCGTGTCAAATTTTACATTCGAATAAAGCTACAAAATTTATACGTACTTATGATTCATAAATGTTCGTCCTGTTTAAGTATATCCAAAGTGTCTGCGTAACGTCAATGTCGCCTTCAGATATAATTCAGATGTCATGTTGTTATCACTGGAAAAAAAGTGAAATCCATGCTACGAAATTTGCAATTGCACCACTAAATCCATAGTATATCCATCCTATTTGCATAATATATTCATACTTTGGAAATATATAATTATTATGGATAAGCAATATCCATTTTAATTCCAATAAAGGACCATACAATTTCCATTCTATGACCTTCTGTGGATTTTCAATTTTTTTTCCAGTGCATGTTACATAATTATTGCAGCCTTGGCTCATTTAGTTAATATGTTAACTGATCTCCGCGGAATATAGTCTTATCCACGCTTTGTAATAATAAACATACATGGAGGCTCCGTTCACACGAATATGATCATTTCTTCGCTGTTCTGCATTGTTGAGTACCATGCAACTAAGTCATCAATCGGCCGATTAAGAACATATCGTTTGCTTCTGGGATAACCGTATACATTGAAACAGAGTAGACACTATACAGAAGACGGAATTCTTGGTTTTGCCTTCACTTTTGGGGCAACCGTTGAAATATTGTCGCCATTTTCCTAGCCAGCTGGCTTACGAGAAGAATTAACCCCCCTGAAATCATTCAAAGTGGTGGACGTTAAGGGGGTGCCGGGTGGGGCGAATACCTCCCGTATTCCCATTGGCTATCGAAGGATGACAAGTGCATTTTGATGATGAATAAATGCCAACCATGGCGTGACGAGGGTTACGCTTTCTTGGCTCAGACGGCGTATGATCTCTATTCTATTTAGCATTGTTTCCCTTGTCAATGAAGATATCAGAGCAGACGAAATTTCGTACTGTTCCGAACTCGTGCGGTCTTTCGGAAAACTTGGCTTTGTTAATGAATTTAAACAGAACCACGTCAACAGTTTTCGGTGACATTTTGGAATGGCAACAACAAAATAATGTGAAAACCGAAATTATGAATGCCGTAACTCTAAACTTTTTAGAAGACGCGCGGTACTCCAAATGCTTTTGCACCGATTGATGCATTCTTGCTGGATAATTGCTTAACCGCTATTGGAGTCGAATCTATAACCTCGACTGAACAACGCTCCATACAAACTGGACGACCATGTAAAGTTTGTTAATGCGGTTGCTCGCTGAGCGTTCGAATCCCACAAACATTCGACCTGAACCCAGGATGACAGCAACATCATAAATCCTCTACTAGAAATACATGCATGCAGCAACCCCTCACCTATATTTTCCAAACATCGAATTAAGATGAAGTATTTGGATATGGCCAATACTGAACGCAGGCTCGTTCAAGTGTTGCCATGACAACACGATATTTTTAAATTTACATTTTTTTATATTTTTTTGTACAAAACAGCAAAATAGTTAAAAGATTAGGACTTTAGCTATACAACAATAAATTTCCGAAATATATACTGTATTTATGTTATTCTGCTTTTTGTGTGTTTTGATTTCATCCCCGACCCGACGGCGCGAAGCGCCGTGCGAGGGTACTAATTCCCCCCGGCTATTTACACCCGGGGAAACGAAAGCATTAGCCAAGTCTAAAGTTTATCAATTATCGCGGGCGTGGGTGACCAACGATGGGTGGTCATCCTCACTGATCTCAAAAATATGCCGGACTGTCATGAATAGCGGACACTGATTGGTCCAATTCAAAGTTTGATTATAACGACTGCATGACGACAGCGAAATAGCAAACATTTCTTGATTTGATAATTGATAAATTTCTTGCAAATATATTTCATTTTTGCTCGCATTTTTGCAAGATTTTGTAAATGTCAAGAAAGGAAGGGCGAAAGAATCGGCTAAAAGAAGGGTGCCGACGTTAACGAAGGTAGTTTCGTTTTAAATATTGATTGTGTGATGGTTTTAAAACCCGACGGCCTTTGGCATTGCGTATATGAAACAACTATAAAAAAAGACAGCATATAATTTTAGTGTATCTTTAATATTTATTCCCTTTTTTATGATATTGAATTTTTTAAATAAAAAAGAAAGCAAAGTTATTTGCAAGCGAGAATTTGAAATCATATTATTGCAAACTCAAAGTTTATCGATAAAACCATTTTAAAAGGCAGTTTAGTTTTATAAAGAACACTAGTGACTTTAAAACGTTTTGCGAAGCGTTTGTCGTTGAATTTTACCTTAAATTGAGGCTTATATTACGTATAATAACATATATACCTAACATATATATGTTGGGAAATTAATAATTTTGAAATTAAAAGTGATATTTTTAGGCCATTTTTCATTTGTAAGATTGTAAGAATATTCTTAAAAAATTATCGTGTTACCATGACAACTACTTTAGATACTTCATGTTCGGAAAATACAATGGTTTTGTCAGCAAGGCTGAGGCGAGGGTTTCTGCATGCATGTATTTTCTAGTTTAACTATTAAAACTACATTTGCCGTAAATATGATAAGTTCAAATTGTTCGGTAATTTCAGTTCCGACTTCAAATCAATTTGTTCTCCTTTACATTTTAAGATTCTTTCTTAAATTAAACAGGATAATTAAGTTAGGAAACTTACAGCTTCGTTAGAAAGGAAAGTAGTTCATGTTTTAGGCAAAAGTTAAAGCAACAAAATTCATTAACATTAATAATTCAAAGCAAACTTGCCCCAATTTTCACGATTTCGCATAGTCCATCAATTTTTCTTATTTCTTCAAACATTAATTGCTTCAAAGCTCATTGTGTGAAACGTGATTTTCCAAATATATGTTTCAGTTGGAAAATTGAAATATTGCTTATACCACTCCTGGCAAACAGCCATATTTTTTAGATCAGTGAGGTCCACCCATGAACCATAGTCACGCGCCCGCGATACTTGATTAACTTTAGACTTCGCTAGTGCTTTCCTTTCCCCGGGTGTAAATAGCCGGGCGGAATTAGTACTCTCGCCCCGGGCTTACGCCCGGAACGGCGCTCCGCGCCGTTGGCTCGGGGATAATTAACGCCAAGGGGAATATGTTATTTCAAGACATGTTGCTGTTGTAAAAAGATGATATTTTTGTGAAAATTATGAACATATCAAAGAATGGCTTTGTTAAAACAAGAAAACGACTTGATAAAGGATTTACGAAAGGCAAAGTAAAACAGACTCATGCCCTCATTTCGATTATTGCAGTGAGGTATGGGATACCTTGGGCATTGGCCTTTCAACTCGTCTTCAAAAACTGCAGAATAGCGCGGCGAGAATAGTAATGGGTATGACAAATGATACCCCTGGATTAGAAGCAATTACTGCCTTAGGGTAGGAAACTCTTGAGTCTCAACGAGCTAAGTCTAAGGCAGTACAAATGTACAAAGTTTTAAATGATTTGGCTCCAAATGCACTTGTTAATCTTTTTATGCGTAAAAGTGATGTCACAGATTACGAGCTAAGGGGTTCCTCTACATCACTGCAAATCCCTTTTCCCAGGACTGAAAATATTAAGAAAAGTTTTTTTACGATGGGGCGAAATTGTGGAATTCCTTACCTGAAGATTTGCGTGATTAGGCTACCTTGCCAATATTTAAAAGTCGAATTAGTGCTCACAATTTCTCATAATATAATGTAAATATAATTACTATGGTATAATATTAGGTTGACTATTGTAAATATGTTCATTTTTAATGTTTGCTACTATTTATAATGTAATTGACACGTCCCTCGTGGAAATCAGCGAAAGTTGACGAGGCTAGCGTGTGATTTTTAAATAAAGTTTATCATCATCGTCATGCATTCATACATTATGTTAACAAACAAAGTCATTTCAAAAGCCCTTGGCCAGAGAAAGTTTTGTCAAATTTTGGGAAATTGCAACACGAATAACTCAGTCAGCCTCAATATTATATACTACTAATTACTATATTATCTTTGTACACATTCGAAGCATCACGAAGAACATCTCCTTTAATTATTATTTACTCCTACCCCTAAATTTGATATTTCTACTTTGAAATGAACGAACGCCTTGGAAAATGCAGCCCAAAACTTTGTATACAATACAGGCCCATGGCGTGAACGTGAATGAAAACTATATTAAACAAATTCTTTCGGCTGAAACCTTCTTTAGAATATTCAAACTTTTGAATGAACAGGATTTTTAATTATAATCTAAAAAAAATATTTCATGGGGAAAATTAAATGAAAAAGCTTGTTGTTCAGCGAGACAGTTTTGAGATTTTTTTAAAAAATCATCAATCGAAATTTCTCGTCCGACTATTATTTTGATTTCAGTTATCGAAATCTAGCATTATTTGGATTTTAGTTATCGAAATCGAACATTTATTGACCAATTGGAATGTAGGCAATTTATACTGAATTGTTTACAGTTCTCTAACGAGAGTCTAAATGCCCTTCTTCTGAACAGAATGGAACGATATTTTATTGGCTACGGGGAAAATTACGGTGGTTCCAACAACCACATAGTACAGGCTAAACTAAGTGTTTAGGTTTATATAATTTCTTTATTATTTTTTATCTATTTATATATAGGGTGAATAATAACAATGAACGCAAAATTTCACCGAAAAGATAAAGCAAACTTCATATCTAAAGTCACACTCTGGTGGATTGTTGATCTTCTGTTGCGAGGACGAGTCAAGCCAATAAATCAAGATGATCTTGATCCTGTCAGAGAAGAGGATCGCTCGGAGTATCAAACGAAATTATTGGAGAAGATTTGGCAAAATGAAAAGATCTCAGCCAATCAAGCAAAGAGAAAACCTAAACTCTGGAAAGCAATGCTAAAATATTTTTCGTGGAAAGAATATGGATTTCTAAGTTTTCTGTGTTTCGTTATCATGGCTGGAAATATTTTGTGTCGCTATTCTGTTCTGAAGATAATTTACGCTTTGAGGAGTAGTAATGAGCATGATCTCCAATCCAGAAACCAGTATCTCGTGAACGTATGGGGAGTGATTGCTGGATATTTACTTACAAATTTTTGCACTCGACATTTTAATATGATCACACCCAGTTTGGGAATAAAATCTAGAGCAGCTCTTGTTGGTTTGATCTACAAAAAGGTAAGTATTTTTTATCGTATTTCAAGGTAAAGTTAGGTTTCGTGAGATCAGAAACTATATTCCCTTATTGAAGATGTATGGCACAGATTGAGTGCTGATTAAATTCCATGTGAAGAAAAACAGCTATTTCCGGTCTCACTTGTAAACCGTTAAGAATTTTACGAAAATAAAAAAACACGTTGTTAACTGCGGGAATTTTATTTTCTCTCTTCAGTATTTAATTGAGGTCTGTTTTAACCTTTCAGGGCAATCTTACATTTTCGAAATTAATTTCCCCACTGAAAGAACTATATATTCGTAAATTTAATGGACAATTTTTTAATTACAGGTGTTGACATATAGTAAAGCAACGATAAACGCAGGCGAAATAATGGAATTAGTATGCAATGATACACAATGTTTAGTCACAATGGCAGACAGAACATTCCCATTTTTGATTCGAAAGTGTATTGCGGCTGCAATATACATCAGCTGGCTTTTATTCTTGTATGGTTGGACAATCATTCCTGGCCTCCTTGTTTTTGCCATTCTCTCTTTATTTCGTATCTTAATCACGGAAATCGATCTTAATTTACGACGAAATGCTTCACACGTAGCAGAAGAACGCCTTGGATACCTTCGAGAGGTTTTTACGAAGATTCAATTTGTCAAATTGAATTGTTTGGAACATATATACGAGAACAAGATTAAAACGACAAGATGGTAAGTATTTAGCCTTGTTGCCCAAAAAGTCTGGCGGTAATATACACCAAAACCACTAGCGGTAAATTGTGACATTACATCGTTTACAACCATGCACACTTTTATTATTTTTTGCGGGAAGACATTCAGTTGATGATTTTTCGAAATTTATATTTTGAAAAGTCTAATTGCGGAACAGAACAAGGATACTTGTTGACTATATCCAATGTAATGTTAACTCTATATGGCTATAAACGTCTATAATTTGCGCTTTTTAACGTTTGTACGAATGTGCCGTGTTTTATGTCAAAGTACTAGTTTAATATCTAAAAATGTAGATAGTGAACACAACTTTTTGAAAAATAGATCTTCCAAAAGGCTGTTATGTGCGGTAAATAAATTTCAATATATTACAAGTAGAAGAAGCAGTGCCACGCAATGTTATTGACTAATGCTCGTGCATTATTTAAGAAACAGAAAACAAGTCGCGGCGTTTATGGTGTGATCATGCACACGAGGAATGTTGGGAGAATACGAATGAAGCGTACAAAACACGAAACGTAGCCGAGTGTTTTGTACACTTCTCGACTATTTTCCCAACATTCCCCGAGTGCATTATCACAACATACTGTAAACGCAATAGGCGAATTTTTCTATTTCTTTTATAATATAAGTAGAAGATATTACATAGTAAACAATTTTACTCAAAACATCGTCTTTAAATTCTCCAAACATGTATTCAATGACGTCACGCGCATACTTTTAGTGTCGCTTGAATTTTAAGCGAGTGAAGGAGCAAAAACAGATGAATACAAAATTTTGATAAAACTTTGATTCTAAATTTGCGGAGAAACTGTTTAATTAAAATACTGCATGGGGGAAACTCCAGTATTACACAAACTAATTTGCTCATCATGTTTCGCTCGCTACTCTGGTTTAATTTAAATAAATGATTACAAAGCTCAGTCGAATTGTAATCAAGACCCAACGTTTCGACATTCTGGTCTAGTGTCTTCATCAGGAGTGATCTAAAGTTGCAATCGTGGCTTCTTAAATATCCAAGGAATGACGTCAGCTGCCCATGAGATGCATGTATTCCTCAGACGATGATGCTAAGCGATGATGCTAGGCGATTGGTAAGAGCTGAGGTCAGTAGCATTCTTAGACGTGCCAAAATACCTCCAAAAAACATTGATTCGAATGTTTTCAAAGCTTTGCTTGCTCTTAAATAAGATCCGGGCAGGGTTTTTATTTCAGCGGACTAAGGCAACTGTGTTGTTGCTATATATGAACAAACATGACTATCGCGAGAAGGCTCTTTCACTGTTGAACGACAGAAATAAGTATTCTATTCTCAAGTCTGATCCTGCTGGAAAGACTCAAAGAGTTTTAAACGCCAAGTTACTTCTCTTGACGAAGTCCAATAGTATCACCAATGCTACATATGAATTATACAGCAGTGATGGACTATCTCCCTGTTTGTATGGTTTACAGAAAATCCATAAACCGCTAATTCCATTGCGACCTATTGTGTCGTTTGTGAATTCTCCTACATGTGAAGTTTCAAGTTTTTTTGCGAAAATTTTGTCCCCTGTGGTGGAAAATACCAAAAACACTGTTAAAAATTCCTGTCTTTTCGCAGAATATGTAAGAAGTAAAACTCTTAAAGCAGATCAAGTGTTTGTACCATTTGATGTCGTTTCCTTGTTTACGAATATCCTAGTTGATCTTGCCATCAAGATTGCAACAAAAAGACTAAGATAGGATGCCACTTTGTTACACAGAACATCCTTGCCTGTAGAAGATATTATTGATCTTCTGTCTTTTTGTCTCAACACCACATACTTTGTGCATGCGGGCTGTTATTATTAACAGGTTTTTGGAACAGCGATAGGGTCACCAGTATCGGCAGTAATTGCTAATTTAATGATGGAAAATATCGAACAAAGCGCTTTAGCCACTGTTACGATATCTCTATTGTTTTGGAAACGTTTCGCCGATGATGTCATCTCTGCGGTTTCCAGAAATGAAATCGATATTCTGCTGCAACATTTAAATTCTATCGAGCCGTCCATCCAATTCATAGAAGAACGTGAGATAAGTCCGTGGACATTTAGCTTTTCTAGATTTGAATGTGCACAGAACTGTCGAAGGGAAGTTAGACACTGATGTTTATCGCAAACCCACACACACAGACAAATATTTGTCATACGACTCTCATCACCCAATGAGCAATAAAATATCCATAGCAGAAACTTTGCTTCAAAGAGCTGAATCCTTACCGTCAATTAAACAGTGATTCTCAAGATAATGAACGTGAATATGTTATAATTTTTTTAGGAAAAATGATTACCCAACCGTTTTCTTAACGATTGCCTGACATCACCTGTTTGTAGGAACCAAAATAACTCCGAGGTTGATACCAATAGTTCCATACATTCAAGGTGTCACAGAACCAATCAAGAGAATCTTAAGTAATTGTAATATTAAGGTTGCCTATTTGACTTTAGGCCATATCGCAAAGCCAAAAGATCCTGTTAAACCAAATCAGAAAACTCATACTGTGTATTCTATACCATGCGGTGACTGCGAGAAAGAGTATTTTGGTCAGTCTAAACGCCAGTTTGGTACGCGGCTAAAAGAACATCAAAAGGTTGTTTCAACTTTAGACAAGGGAAAATCACCTTTAGCAGAACGTGTACATTACACCATAACTGTCTGTACCAGTGTTGGTAGTACCAATGTGAAAATGCTGTGCTGAGTGGTATATTACTACCTTAAAAAATAAGCAGAAACTCGACGTTTCGAGCAACGGCCTTTCGTCAAGAGTTAGAAGCAGGGATCGGGGAAAATGCACGGGCTTTTATACTAAGAGTATGAAAGCATCGCGTGACAAAAAATAAATAAACTAATTAGATGGATTTAATAATAACAAAGTGTAAACAAAATATGTAAATCGCATTACAGAATATAATATAATTAAAAATATAAAAATAAACAGGAAGTTAAGACAATTACTGCAAAAAATAATCAAAACAAAACACGAGTGGGAATAAGATAAAAAGTAAAAGTAATAAATAGAAGTTGTCAATGTCTGCTATAGACAGGCAAAAACAGATGGCATCATAGACGAAACAGAAGATATGTCTTCTGGATTGTCGATCTATGATGGCATTAACATAAGAAAAGCGTTCATTAATGCCAGAAGGGTGAACAGTGACAAGTTTGGATATGAGGAGCATTTCATGTCGTTTGCGGCTATCGTTGCTTCCAGAAATGGGACAGAGGGCTCGAATTAACATATCTGAAAAACTGTGATTGCCATCATTAAAATGTCTGGCAACAGGTTGGTTAGCATCATTGCCAATAACTGCACGCCGATGCTCACCAAACCTTGTCATTAAACCTTTCCAGTTTCCCCAATGTAAAGCATGCCACATCTGCTGCAAGAGATGCAGTAGATGAGATGGGAGGAGGCGCACGTGAAATGGTGCTTGATGTGAAATTCAGATTTAGGTGCCGAAACAATAGTGGTGGAATCTATAAAATCACAGGTTTTACATTTCGACGACAGGCAAGGAAAAGTGCCTTTCTGTGACGTCGAAGCCTGTGTTAGGGAGCTATGGACAAGGGTTTCACGGATATTTTTGATGTGCGGAAAAGAGACTAAGGGGTTATCGGAGAAAATGGAAGATGTTTCAAGGTCGTTTTTCAAAATATGGAAATTCTTGTTGATGACATCTCTAACTTTGAAATTGAAAGGATGATAGTTTAATACTAGGGGGATTTTGTTGTTGCCTGTGACATTAGACACATGGTCTGTGAAGGTGTCAGAACGGGGAATTTGGAAGGCCTTCAAAAAGGCAGTGTCTAATAGAGAGGTAGGACAACCACGCTGGACAAAAAAGTGTCTCATCTCCAGACTTTTGGCCTGAAAATCTTCGTCTTCACTGCAGATGCGGCGAAGACGAAGGAACTGAGAAAAGGGATCGCAATCGACCTTTTGGTGTGGCCATGGTTGGGGTGGGAAGAGGAAAATAGAAGATAGCTATGGGAGTCAGTGGGCTTGTAGAACACAGAAGTAGATAATTTGTTACCATTGATTGATACAAGGATGTCTAAGAATGATACACTGGTCTCACTGATCTCCCATGTGAACTGGAGTGCTGGATGAAAATTATTAACAAAGTTAATAAAGCGTTCCAATTCGACACGAGAACATGATGCTGTGCCATTTACACTTTGTTATTATTAAATCCATCTAATTTATCTATTTTTTGTCACGTGATGCTTTCATACTCTTAGTATAAAAGCCCATGCATTTTCCCCGATCCTTGCTACTAACTCTTGACGAAGGGCCTTCGCCCGAAACGTCGAGTTTCTGCTTATTTTTTAAGGTAGTAATATACCACTCAGCGCAGTATGTTACACCATACACGAGATTGCGTGGGAAAACTCTAAAGTAATTACCACAAACAATCGCTATGGTCAAAGACTATGCCTAGAAGCGTGGCATATAAATATGAGTAATCATGCTTTGAATAGGGATGACGGTGCCTATTTGCCTGAGAAATACATGCATCTCATTGGCAGGTGATGTCATCCCATGGGTATTTAAGAAGCCACGATTGCAACTTTAGATCACCCCTGATGAAGACACTAGACTGAAGTGTCGAAACGTTGGGTCCTGATTACAATTCGACTGAGCTTTGTTATCATTTATTTAAACCAGAGTAGCGAACGAAACATGATTGATATACCTGGTTGCAGTGAACGAAAAAACGTTAATTTGCTCATTTTTTTCGGCATCTGGGCTGCTGTATTTGCCATCAAAGACGTTAAATCGTAAGTTTCATCGTGTTGCTCAATTTAATTTTTCAAATTATTGTATTTTTTGCCTTTCGCCGAAAATATAACTGGCAGTTTCTAAATCACATATGTTCAGTTTTTGTTAATTGCCTTTTTCTATGTTTTTGGTAAACTTACGTATCTTTTTCAAGGTGTCGAGACAAAAACAAATTCGACGAATGCCAAGCTGTTAATTTTACTGCTTCTATACACGTAGAATTATAGATAAACTTTGTTTCTTTGACCTATTCCTTCATCCTTTCTGTTAATTTTTTTATTTAAAAGCTCTATAGTTTTGTTAGTATTTTAGGCTAAAAGGCAGAGATGAAACGGGGGGAGACAGAAAGAGCAAGGCAGTGCCACTGACCGTATCACACTGCATTATTGCATCACAATGCACGCAAATTAGCCAATCAAATTTTCTGTTGTATCCCACTTATATTATAAATCACCATAATGCACTGTTTCGGTTATACAGTTTTTCTCGGTTACCAGCTTGAAAAAGTTACAAAGGCTATATAAAACAAACTTCATTCATTGAAGC